TCCCAGGGGAACGGCGAGGGGCAGAGCCTCTGGAGTCACGCACATTACGCGCAGAGGACAGTCTGTTGACTCTGATGCTAGACTGCCCTAGCGGGAAAGAGAAAAAAAGCTCCAGACTCAGAGGAACGCAATGAGGAGCAGTAGCCGCTGCCGGACACCAGCCAACCGGGCACCGTCAAGGAGCCGGGCGACGGGGCCCCCGGGGAAGGGGGGGTGCCCCTGAGCCCTCGACCGCTGAGCCCGGGCTGCGGAGCCGAGGCCGGGGTCCGCTTCCTGGGCAGAGCCGATCCTGGCAACAGGCTGAAGCCACACAGGAGACCACAGAGAACAAAGGGGCGCTGCAGGCCAGCCGGCTGAGCTTCCAGGACAAGGAGGAAGAAAACGAAGAAGTTCTCAATGTGAAGAAATCAAGTGAGAGCAAAAGATAGTAAAATTACTTAAGAAAGAATACAAAGAAGATCTTGAAAAATCGAAGACTAAGTCAGAACTCAACTCAGCAGCCAACATTGCAACATAAATGCGTTTTTTAAAAAAGGACAGAATGTTGGAATAGCGGTGGCCAGGACCAGAGCAGCAGCAGCCAGAACCAGAGCAGCAGCAGCCAGGCCTGGAGCAGCCAGACCTGGGGCAGTGGCAGCCAGGCCTGGGGCAGAGGCGGCCAAGCCCAGGGTGGCCAGGCCAGGAGCACCCAGGCCAGGAGTGGCCGGGCCCAGAGCATCCAGGCCCAGAGCAGCCGGGTCAGGAGCAGCCAGGCCCTGAGCAGCAGCAGCCAAGCCCGGAGCATCCAGGCCGAGAGCGGCCAGGCCCGGAGTGGCCGGGCCCAGAGCAGCCAGGCCCAGAGCAGCAGCAACCAAGCTCGGAGCAGCCAGGTTGGGAGCGGCCAGGCCCGGAGCAGCTGGGCCCAGAGCACCTGGGTCGGGAGCAGCCAGGCCCGGAGCAGCAGCAGCCAAGCTTGGAGCGGCCAGGCCCGGAGAGGCTGGGCCCAGAGCAGCTGGGCCCGGAGCAGCCGGGCCCAGAGGAGCCGGGTCAGGAGCAACCAGGCCCAGAGCAGCAGCAACCAAGCTTGGAGCAGCCAGGCCCGAAGCAACCGGGCCCAGAGCTGCTGGGTCGGGAGCAGCCAGGCCAGGAGCAGCAGCAGCCAGGCCAAGAGCGGCAGTGGCCAGACCTGGAGCAGCTGGTTGTGGAGAGGACGAGAGCAACAGAGGCCAGGCCCGGAGCAGCCAGGCCCAGAACAGCTCGCTCCTCGCCTGTCCCCACCCCAAGGCTGCCTCTCAGACATGGCTCGAAACTTTTGGGGGAACTTGAGGGTCTGCTGAATCAAGTGATAAAGGCTTAGATCTGGATGTGTAGAGTTAGTATAGCGCTGGGGTGTTGATCTGTGAGTGCCTTGTGAGGGGCCTGGAAAAGGTTGGTTGATCTATTTGGAAATGTCTTTTGTGTGAAGTGTATTCTTGGGCATGTGGAGGTATTATTGATTAGAGAAAATGCTAAGTAACTGATTTACTATCTGAAAAATTTGAAGTTCTGAAAATTTAAGGTCTTTTGCCAAAAAGAGGTTTTAAAGCTAACACCTTAATTTTAATGGAGAAAGGGGAAGACAAGCCCTTCCCACCCAGAACAGATAATCCAATTCCAACCAGCAGCTATCTTTAAACAATGTGCCCATTTACACTTGAATGGCTACACCTTTTGATAGCCTAAGGGCAAGTTTACATGTAAACAAGTTTGCTTCTCAATTCTGAGAGCAGAAAAAAAAAAAAAAAGGTTTAAAATTATTAGATTTTAAAATTTATTCTTAGAAGTGTAAAAGTTTATTAATTAAAAACAACAACAGCAACAACAACAACAACAACAAAAAGGAGATTGAAAAAACCTAATATTGATGAACAATATTAGCTGTTGATTGCAGTAGAGTAGGCGATATGGGAGGGGAGTGGACTGTTCTCTGGGAAAGGGGGAGTGGTGGATGCGGGAAGAGACTGAACATAAACTGTGCACCTATGGATGAGGACAATGGGGGGTGGGGAGAAGGCGGAGGGTGGGGTGGGAACCTGGTGGAGGGGGGAAGAAATGAGGAACCTTTGTAATAATATGAACAATAAAGATTGAGTTAAAAAAAATAAAAATAAAAAAATATATATTTAAAAATAAAATAAAATAAAATAATAAATAAAAGACAATGACTGGTGGGGGAAATGTCTTTTACATACTCAGTCCACTTGGTGTATTTCAAAAGGTGCAATCCTTTTCATTTATCAGCAAAAGAAGTTTAGAAATTAACTTTTAAAAATCATCAAATGGCTAACAAATTTCCTTGAAAGTCACAGTCACATATATAGTGCATTCTGGGAAAGAGACGGGGCAAGACAGGCTCCACCCACTAGTGAGTTTCCTCAAATACTGGGCCTGCTCAAGGGTGGAGAGAAAAGGCGACTTTCCAGGAGCGTGTTACTCAGTGAGGCATTTGCTATACTCCCTCCTAAGAGCACCAGGTGGGGGACACGTTTTCTAAACTAGACGTAGGAAGTGGAATAGAGTCAGTCCATGCTCCCCGCCTTAAGGACTGTCCAAAGGATACTGAAGTTTTAAAAATGACCAAATAAAACAACTCCACCCCAAAAAAGAAAAACAAAACAAAACTGTCAGATTACTCTCCAGAGTGGAACCAGGCAGCAGCTACAACAACCCAACGTGGTCTGTTCCGCATCATCACAGGCGTGCCTTGCTTTTAAACAACAAAACTGTTTTTGAAACAAGACGCCGAAACTGGTTTGGCACAGTGGATAGAGCATCGGGCTTCGGACTGAAAGTTCCCAGGTTTGATTCCAGTCAAGGGCATGTACCTTGGTTGCGGGCACATCCCCAGTAGGGGTTGTGCAAGAGGCAGCTGATTGATGATGCTCTCCCATTGATATTTCTAACTCTCTATCCCTCTCTCTTCCTCTCTGTAAAAAATCAATAAAATATATATTTTTAAAAAGAAACAAAACAAAAACTAGCACTGATCTCTTTTCTGACAATGCACAATTACTCAAGATTAACTAGTACTGAGGGGGGCAAGGGCCTGGCTATGGGCCTTGTCTCACATGAGGGCACATGGCTGGGTGCAGGGCATTTGTCATTATTGCAGAAATGAGCTTTTTATGTGTAATTCTTGGTTTGATTTAAACATTTATTTTTAGTGTGATGCTAATAGCAGCTGTGCAGAAAGGGTGTTGGAGAGATGTTTATAGTAGTTCTGGAGGCTCTAGGCATTCCACATACGTGATGGCCTTTGGGTCACCAGCCAGCTTTTTGGCGGTCTCTGGAGTGTTAGGCTTTTAAAGAAAATGTTGACAATATTACAGATGTCTCCCATTTTCTCCCCTTTTGCCCCTTTCCACTCAACCCTTGCCCCACCACAAACCTTCCCATACTGTTTGTTGTCTGTGTCCATGGGTAGTGCATGTATGCATATTTATGTTCTTAGGTTAATCTCTTCCTGTCCTCCCACCCCATCCCCACTGAGGTCTGTTATTCTGTCCTATGTACACATGCCTCTAGACATATTTTGTTTGTCAATTTATTTTTGTTCGTGAGATTTCACATATAAGTGAGATCATGTGATACTTATCTTTCTCTAACTGGCTTGTTTCACTTAGCATAATAGTCTCCAGATCCATGCTGTCTCAAAGGGTAAGAGCTCTTTTCTTTTTCTTTCCTTTTTTTAATTTTTATTTATTTTATTGCTTTTTTTACAGAGAGAAAGAGAGAGAGAGATAGAGAGTTAGAACATCAATGAGAGAGAATCATCGATCAGCTGCCTCTTGCACATCCCCTACTGGGGATGTACCCGCAACCAAGGTACATGCCCCTGACTGGAACCGAACCTGGGACCTTTCAGTCTGCAGGCCGATGCTCTATCCATTGAGCCAAACTAATTTCGGCAAGAGCTCTTTTCTTACAGCCTCATAGTGTTCCATGGTGTAGATGTACCACAGCTTTTTTGTCCACTCGTCTACTGATGGGCACTTGGGCTGTTTCCAAATCTTAGCTATTGTAAATTTGCTGCTATGAGCACAGGGTGCATATATCCTTTCTGATTGGTCTCTCGGGATTCTTAGGATAGATTCCTGGAAGTGGGATTGCCGGGTCAAATGGCAGTTCCACTTTTAAATTTTTGAGGAACCTCCATACTGTTCTACAGTGGCTGCACCTGTCTGCATTCCCACCAGTAATGTCCTGGGGTTCCCTTCTCTCCACATCTTCTCCACCATTTGTTTGTTGATTAATTGATGGCAGCTATCCTGGCAGGTGTCTGTTTGTCCTTGGGAAATGGCAAGTTTCTCAATAGCAGAGGGGTCATCTCTGAGATCTGTTTGGCTCTCAGCAGCAAGAAAGGAGTCTTTTGACAGTGGTGAATTATCTAAGGCACCCACTGTCTTTTCCATTTTCAAATGAGGATGGAGAGACGGCTGAAAAACTAATGTTTCTAATCTGAAACACATCTGTTTGTGGATAACTCCACGGTTGTAACCTGTCATAATCCTCTTGCCCTGCGGTATCAAAAAGTCCAAGAGTATATGACTCTCCATCGATCTTAACTATGACTGCATAATTGCCAGAACAGTCGGTAGACACTCAAATGGAAACTTGTTGGGTAGGTCATCAGGAGACGTGTTTTACCAATGGCACCCTGGCCCACAATATTGCACTGAATCATCTGCATTGCTGAATGGTTTTCCATCCACTTTAAATTTTTCAGACCCAATGATGACCTCAGCTTCTCTCTAGAGACCTTCTCAACATTCCCTTTGCCTGATAGAGACACCTCCTTTCCTGGTACAATTCACTGTAGAAGAAAGGTTGAAGCTAAAACTCTATGTCTTCTGGGGGGAAAGAGGAAAACCTCACACTGGATTCTAATCATTTTCCAGTTTTTAATGTGTTGTTTAGACTTTGAAGAGGGTTTGGGGAGTCATTCCCTTTTCCCCACACAGTGTCTTCTCTCCCTTTGCCAGGGTTCGTGTGAGCCAGGACGGGCAGTTTCTGCACTACATCTTTCCTTACCAGTTCATGGACTCTCCTGAATGGGAATCACTGCCGCCCTCCGAGGAGGGCGTGTTCCAGGTAATAGGGAACCCCATGGCAGTACCGCCCCATCATCCCACTGTAACCCAGCAATTACCCCACCACCACCACCACCACCACCGCCACACACACGCACCTCTCCCCCCTGACATCTGTCCTTGGAAAGACTGTCATGTGATGTGAGGGGTGGAGCACTTCCCTCCTGTGGGAAGAGTACCTGGGCTCCTGGAAAAGGTGGGAGGGAGGGGGAGATACTGACCCCCAACAGGTGGGCCATGTCACTCCTGTGCCTAAATCCTTCCAGAAGGCTCCAGTGGCCACACTATCAGAACCCACACGTCTCAGAGAGTAACTTAAGACCTTTAGTGGGATCCAGCCATATCTCAGCCCCTCCCCCTCCCCCAGCCATCCTGAACTAAACACAGCCACTCTTTAGCCATGGACATGCGTTGGCCCCTACTTCCCCTTCTTCTTTTTAAAAAAAATATTTTATTGATTTCTTTACAGTGAGGAAGAGAGAGGGATAGAGAGTTAGAAACATTGATGAGAGAGAAATATTGATCAGCTGCCTCCTGTGCACTCCCTACTGGGGCTGTGCCTGCAAGCAAGGTACATGCCCTTGACGGGAATCGAACCTGGGGCCTTTCAGTCTGCAGGCCGACGTTCTATCCACAGAGCCAAACCTGTTTCGGCGGCCCCTACTGCCCCTTCTACCGGAAACGCGTGTCCCCAAGCAGGTGAGGCTGTGGCATCTCACTTCCCACCAGCTTCCATCCCACAGCCTGCTGTTCCCGTCCGTGTGCCTGCTGTTCCTCTCCGGAGGCTGCTGTGCACATACGGCTCTCTGTGCTAAGGAGCTGCTCTCCTTTCTGTGTTCTGCACAGCGCACTCTTTGAGGTAGAAATCTGGCTCCTACTTCTCTGTCTCCAGGCTCTGAAGGACAGCACCATGAGCACAGTAGGTGTTCAATACACGTTGGCTGCACTGGCTTGCAGTGGGCAGCAGGTGTTTTACCAATGGCACTGCACGGGGCATTTACTGTACATACACACTCCCAGGTGGGGACCTGGCCACTTGCCCTCTGCTCTCTTCCTGCCAGTCCTCAGGTTTCAATGACCTTTGTCGTTCGCATTAATGAATGGCTAGCATGTGGCAGGTACTACATATTATATCGCCTTATTGATTCTCACAACCCTCTGGGCTAGATATTATTACCCCTAGTTTACAGATGAGGAAACTGAGGCTCAAAACATCAAGTAATTAAACAAAGATAATCTAGAAAGTAGCAAAGACAAGCTGCCTGGCTCTACTATTTCTCTCTCTCTCTCTCTCTCTTTTTTTTTTTTTTTAAATGGGAGGGTCACCAGGAAAGTCAAGTTTTCTCTCTCTCTCTCTCTCTCTCTCTCTCTCTCTCTCTCTCTCTCTCTCTCTCTCTCTCTCTCTCTCTCTCTCTCTCTCTCTCTCTCCCCCTCTCTCTCTCCCCTGTTACAGGGACTCCCCTGACCAGACAGTTTGCCAGGACTAGGTTCCATGTGTCTCCTACCACTTCGAGCAGGGAGTCACTTTGGCTGGCATCTGAACCAACCCCATAATAAACACATGCCAGTCAGTGCCACCTGGCTGGGCCTGCTTCCGTCCCACCCTGACTCTTGGCTCTGAGGACAGAGCCTAAGAGGCAAACCTGGTACCACTGCCAGGACCACCAGCCTTAGACCTGCTCTGGTCAGTTCCTTCCCTTCCACACACACACACACACTCCAACCAGCCCAGCCTTCTCCCTTGAGAACCACCCCCTCCCCCCGCCACGGCCATAGCATCTCTAGGAGGGCTGAGTGAGGTCCTGAGCCAGCAGGACTAGGCTCTAATTCTGACAGTGACACTGAGGAACAGGTGGTGGAGAGCTGAGTGGCCTCCCCTAAGTTATGTTTGAAAGGAAGGGCTGTAACCCCAGATGACTTTGCAGTCTGGAATGTAGGTACCATCATAGTCTTCCCATTTATATTTTTAGCGTGCACCTCATTGGGAGAAATAAGATGCACACATTTGCTGTGTAAAGTCCCATTTCCTCTTTTCAAATGTCAAGTGTCCCGAGTTACAGTTTATTTTGTCCTTTTGCAGTTACATAGGCTTTATTGATTAAGGCAATCCACAGTGACTAGATGAATCATTATTCTTATTGTGCTTGCCACAAGTGAATCAACATTTCATCACATCTCTTGGCTTTACTGGACCCAGGGCCTCTTTGAATATGTTATCTCATTTAATTAATTCAACCAAAATCTGAGGTGAGAATTAAATAAACAGTTTGTCCAACTTATAGACATAGTTAGTAAGCAGGTTTCCTGAAGGCTTTTGGGGGAGGATTTTATAGACACGAGAAAGTGGTATACAGGATGGGTAGTCTTCACCTGCTTCATTCACTCACTTCAGCGATATGTATCCTCATCATATACCAGCCATTGTGAAAGGTGCTTAGAATTTATCAGTGAACACAACAGATGAAGGTCCCTGCCTTCATGCAGTTTATATTTTAGTAGGGGAGAGAAAAATGAGCCATGGGCATAATGAATAAGTAAATCATGTAATATGTTAAAAACTCATAACTGCTCTTAAAAATATATAGTGTAAGAATGACACAGTTGCAATTTTAAGTAGGGTCATGGAAATTTTTGTTGAGCAGGTGACATCTGAGCAAAGGCCTGAAGAAGTATGAGCTCTGTTTACATCTGGGAGGAGAGCATATCAGAGAGAGGAAAGGGGCAAGTGGTGGGAGGGGCTGGCATGTTGGAGTTACCGAAAGGAGGTCAGTGCTGCTGGGACAAAGCGAGGGAGGGGAGAAAATGGCAGGAGAGGAAGTCAGAGGAGACACATCATGTAGTCCAGAGGCAAGATTTTTTTTTTTTTTTAAATAGAGCCAAATAGATTTCCTACCCTTGGAAGTAGTGTGTGAGAGAAAGAGGATTAAGGAAAACTCGAAGGCTTTTGGCCTGAGCATCTGGAAGGAGGAAGCTGCAATCACCTGAGCTAAGGGAAGCTGTAGTTAGAGTTGGTTTGTGGGGACGAGAGGAAGTTCAGTTTGGGATATATTAGACTTGCATTACCTGTGAACGTTTACACAGAGATGCTGCACAGGCAGTTGTCTATTTGAGTCTAGAATTAAGGAATGAGGCCGGAGGTGAGACATATATTTGGGAGTTGTTGGCATACAGATGATATTTAAAACTGTTGGGCTGGATGAGATCACCAAGTGAGTGAGTTTAGACAGAGAAAGGGTTCAAGAACTAAGACCTGGAGCATTCTAGTGTTTAGACGTTGGATAAAAAAAGAGGAAGCAGCAAAAGAAGCTGAAAGGAGCCATCGGGAGACTGTACCAGGTGAGTGTGGCATCCTGGGAACCAGGTGAAGACAGTGTGTCGGAGCGGTGGGGGCAGGCAGGAGGGCTGAGCACTGTGGAGACTGACCACTGCTACTTAGAGGTCATTGGTGACCTTACGGGTAACAGTGTTTGTGGACTTCGAGGAGCAACCCCTTCCTGGTTCAACAGAGAGTAAGAGGAGGAGAGTTGGGTTCAGCAAGTATAGACAATTTTTTTTAAATATATATATTGTATCGATTTTACACAGAGAGGAATTGAGAGGGATAGAGTGTTAGAACCGTCGATGGGAGAGAAACATCGACCAGCTGCCTCCTGCACACCCCCCACTGGGGATGTGCCCGCAACCAAGGTACATGCCCTTGACCGGAATCGAACCCGGGACCTTTCAGTCTGCAGGCCGACGCTCTATCCACTGAGCCAAACCGGTTTCAGCATTTCTTTTTTTTAATGAAGTTTTGCTGAAAAAGAAAACAAATTAGTGGAGTGAGAGCTCACCAAAGAAGTGAGGTAAGGAAAAAGAATTTTCATTTTTTAAATTTTGATTTATGTTAAGATGGAAGGAGTAACAGCATGTTCAAAGAATGCGTACAGTCTTTGCATTAGGTTCTAAAGCACCATGTTTGCATCCGGATTAGCTCCTACTAACTCCCAGTTCATCATCAGCACTCTGATTTCTTGTCTGGGAATTGTCAGTAAGCACATCTAAAGTATAGACCAGGGCGGAGATTGTGAGTACTTACTGCTTTCCGAATTCTTTCTCACGAAGCAGCATGCTCAGAGAGATTAAGTCATTTGTCTGATGTCACAGAGCTAGTTAAGGGGTAAAGCTGAAACTTTAAGCCAGCTTCTGGCCATGGTGATTGTTTTAAGGCCCTAACTTCAGTGCTGATGACTAGGAGGGAATGAGTAGAGAAAATGGAAGCGAGTACTGCTTGGAGGAAAGGGGAGGAGACGGGGATAATGGGAGCTCTGGGAGGCAAGGCAGGAACTATGAGGATTGCATAAAATCTCTAAGAAAGAATGTAGAGTCAGTCCTACATTTAATTAGATAATCCACAAGCAGTAAGTACTCAGAATCCATCCAGCAAGTAGCGGTCCCTCTCTGCCCTTGTCTATACTTTAGATGTGCTCACTGACAATTCCCAAACAAGAAATCAGAGCGCTGATGATGAACTGGGAGTTAGTAGGAGCTAATCCGGATGCAAACATGGTGCTTAGAGCCTAACATAAAGACTGTAAGCATTCTTTGAACATGCTGTTACTCCTTCCATCTTAACATAAATCAAAATTTTTAAAATGAAAATTCTTTTTCCTTACCTCACTTCTTTGGTGAGCTCTTAGAACTTAACACAATGCCTGGCAATTGATATTAGCTGCTTATCATCATTTATTTCCACTGTCTCTGTTCACAAATTTTCGTCATGAACTCTGACAACCTTCTCGCTGTTCAAGTATTTTGGCCATTTAGGACTATTAAAAATTGTGTGATTATATACTCTTATTCTTTACTATCCTAACCATGTTTCCATTTTAACCCTAGTTTTACCTCTCATCATTATTTCAACAAGAACTTACCACACACACACACCGCGTGCTGGGCACACAAGATTTACCCTGCAAGTGTGATTTAGCTTTGAGTCCTGGACACATAATGAATACTCAGAAATTCCTAGATGACTAAATCAAGAGCAATTTCTTGGACCTGGATCCCAGGCTAATGTTCTGTCCACTTGTTTCAGATTGGCATTCCTAATACCCAGGGAAGCTCTCTCTAACTAAAATGCTTTCCAATTCCTCTTGCTTCCCTACTCCAACCTATTACCCTTCTTTATTCTTAAACCAAGCTATCATCATCATGCTGACCTCTCTTCAGAGCACTAGGAGGCCCCTTCTCTCTCTTGAAGTCACAACAGACTCGGACCCTTCTGTAGCCATTAGTGGTATCAGCCATGAGGCCACAGACCATGAGATATGAACACTGAGGCTCCCAGAGGTGAGGGCCCAGTAAGTGAATGGCTGATCCCAGGGCTCCTGAAAAGGATACGCAGCCGCCTCCCCCCACCCCCATCCCCAAACCAGTGCACACAATTAAAAGCCATTTGCTGCGCCTCCTCCAGACAAGGCCATGGGGGGAGGGGTGATCCCACAGGTCCCTCAATAAAAGTGCAATCGTTTGCCCAGTAACTGTATGTTTCTCTCTGCTAACCATGGACACATTTTCTAATTTAAACCTCCACTCTCTGCTCCTTATCCACCTCAGGTGACTCTGACTGCAGAGACCCCATGCAGCTACATTTCCTGGCCCCGGAAAAGCCTTCACCTTCTTCTGGCCAAAGAGCGATACATCTCCCGCCTCTTCTCAGTCCTGCTGGGCTACGACATCTCCGAAAAGATCTACGCCCTCAACGAGAAGCTCTTCGCTAAGTTTGGGCTGTGCTTCGACATCCGTCTCCCCAGCCTCTATCACGTCCTGGGTTCTGCTGCTTCCGATGCAGGGCCGGAGTCTGAGAAGGAGGATGAGGAAGTCCATGAGCCAGCCGCAGCCCCTCCTCAGGCCGCGCCCACACCTGACCAGCACATGCCCTCTTGCTCTCGCCCGCCAGCCGCCACCCACCCTCCAGCACGGCCTTCCCGGGCCAGGGTGTCCCGGCCCGACAGCGATGGCCTGGGTGAGGACTCCACCAGCTTGGTGCTGGAGGATTTTGAGGAGGTGTCAGGATCAGAGTCGTTCATGGACTATAGGAGTGATGGGGAGTACATGAGGTGAGGGGAGAGCTAACCTGGGCACAGCCGCCAGCTCAGGATCCCGTGTAAGTACCCAGATGGCAGCTGCCACGCCTCCCTGCCAGCGGGTGGTCTTCACCCAGCTTGTGGAGGCCTGGCTTTTCCTCAAGCCTGTGCTCTCAGAGGACTTCCAGGAAGTAGTGTTAACCCAACCTTTCAGACAGCAACTCACTGTGGGGCGCATGCAAGGCCTGAGGGGGATTTCTAACTCGTTCCTAATTCAGTGTGATTGCTATTTTTGGAAAGTGGGCTGGCTGGTTGGCATTTTGAGCAAGCAGACAGGTTGCTAAATTTTCTGCAAGACTATGCTAATCAATAACAGGGATTTTTATTTGTGGCATGTAGTGTGTGTGTGTGTGTGTGTGTGGCATACGCTTTAAAGGAGAGAAAAAACTGGCATGATTCTAATTCCCATTGGCTCTTCCTGGCATAGAGTCTGCTCTGGGAAGCAGTCATTGTTTAGCCTGGATTGTGCAATTTCTGTTCAAATCATCCATTTCAAAGAGGCTTGGGATCCAGGCTAATGACCTGGGAGGAAAATGTGCCTGCCTTGCTCGCCTCTCCCCCGGTGGGAAGTGTACCGGCTGCTGAGCCAGGGGACTGGATGCTGCTCTGACTGAGTGTGGCTGCCATCGGATATATAAAGAAGCCTGGTTTTCCCTGCAAACCACACACCTGTGTGGGGTGTGGTGGGCACAAGTCTGGGAGCACGGGTGGTACACGCAGGGTTTCCTTCACAGAGCAGAGAATCTGCCAGAAAGGCTGGGCCGAGCAGTTCTGGGAAACCGCTCTCATGTTCCCTTTGCTGCTCTCACAACGCTGTGACATTTTCCTCTGGGCCCCCACACAGCCGCAGTGGAGAGCTGGCTTTTCCTGAGGAAAACACCACAGCTTTCTACTTGGGAGGCCTTTCCACGTAAAGAGGGCAGGCCCCAAGAGACCCCTCGCTCTCGGGGAAACACTGACGAAATTCCAGAGGAAGTAGCCCAGGGAGGAAGGTTTCCGGGGAGGGGAGGTAGGTGAGTGAGTGTTTGTGTATTCTGAAGAACAAGTTATAAGAGGTTAAGCGGTCGGTTGTCTAGGTTTGGGATTATCATCTCCTGTGGTGCCCTGGCCCTTGAGCCCCGTGGAGCTAACTCTGGGGTGATCCCAAGGACCTATCTAGTGCCCAAGATCACTTATTGACCCGCTCCATCGGCTTTGTCCACTCTCATTGCCCCTTTCCCCTTGTGCTGAGAGTCACTTCCCTTCTCATCCACATAATCCTTAATCCTCTCCGAGCATAAGGGTTATGTCCTGTGGATCCCTCTCTTTCTCTAACTCCCCTGCCCCCTGAAACAGGCAGGCTCTGAACTCCCGGCAGCTCTCTGTTCTCATGCTCTCCCAGGTTTCCTTCCCTCTTCCTGGTTCTTTCTGTCCTCTGATGTCTTCCCTCCTTCCGACTTCTGCTCAGTCCTGGTTGCCTCCGTTTGCTGCTCTTATGAAGTGAAACTCCCTTTCCTGCTTCTCAGATTCCCCTCTTCATGTTTGTCCTTTACATCCTCTCCATTTTGCTGAAACCGGTTTGACTCAGTGGTAGAGCGTCGGTCTGCAGACTGAAAGGTCCCAGGTTCGATTCCGGTCAAGGGCATGTACATTGCTTGTGGGCACATCCCCGGTAGGGGGTGTGCAAGAGGCAGCTGGTCAGTGTTTCTCTCTCATCGACATTTCTAGCTCTCTATCTCTCTCCCTTCCTCTCTGTAAAATTTCAATTAAAAAAAAAATATATATATATATACATCCTCTCCATTTTATTGTTTATGTATTTATCTTTCTATGACCTTCTTTTCTTTTCCCTCCATGTTCCTGCCTTGCTCTATCTGTTCTTCCTCCTAAATTACCCTGTAACTCCAATTTCGGTGTTGTTTTTATGTTTGTTTGTTTTTGTTAATCCTCATCTGAGGATATTTTTTCATTGATTTTTAGAGAGGATGGGAGAGTGGGAGAGAAACAGAGCGAGAGAAGCATCGATGTGAGAGAGACACATCGATCAGTTGCCTCTCGCATATGCCCCCTTGCTTTCCCCCTCCAGCACGGCCTTCCTGGGCCAGGGTGTCCCAGCCTGACAGCGATTGCCTGGGTAAGGACTCCACCAATCTGGTGCAGGAGGATTTTGAGAAGGTGGGGATCAAGTCTGCAACTGAGATCCGTGCCCTTAACCAGAATCAAGTCTGCAATTGAGATAGATGCCCTTAACCAGAATCAAATCCGGAACCCTTCAGTTTTTTATCCTGCCTCTTTCAAGATCAGCACTTCTCCCTCTGCCTCTGAAGAAAACCACTTAAGCATTAGCCAGTGTGGTGTAATGGTTGGGCATCATCCCATGCACCTAAAGGCTGCTAGCTCAATTCCCAATCAGGTCATAAGCCTGGGATCCCAGGCAGGGGAAATGCAGAAGCAACCAACAGGTGTTCATTCTCACATCAATATCTCTCTCCCTCTGAAAAAAAGGAAAAAGAGTAAAAAGAAGACAGAGGTCTTATAAGACTCCCCATTTTTCTCAGCAGCATTTTAAAAAGCTCATCCACTAGTGTTAGGAAGTAGAGTTCTATAACTTCTTCATAGGAGTCAACAGAAGTTGATCTCTTGGTCTCTTCACTTATAAATTGAGAGGATCAAACTATATAACTTCAAACCTGACTCACCCTAATATTCTCTTTAGAATGAAATTATTCAACGATACAACTGCCCCTATATGGCAGGCATTGGGTACTGTCGGGGCTCCTCACAACGGGCACCACCTTGCGGGGGCGACCCACAGGCCCTGAACGACGAATGAACAGATTTCTCCAACACAATTTCACTGTGGGGGAGAGGGCTAAGGGACTGCCCGGCTAAAGAAGCCAGGCAGCCCCAATTGCTTGCCTCGTTAGGCTTTTATTGGAATTTTTATCTTTAGATACAACCAGTAGAGTGAGTAATCTTGGAAGGACACATATGTTTGCATTGTCCTCTAGGCAAGGACATCCAGGGATTAAGCATAGGATTCCAGTAAACCCCCAGGAGTCTGCATGTGCACAGACTTGTTCGGAAAGGTCAAGGAATAACTAGGGGTTGCCACCTTTGACACTTAAGTCTCCCCTAAGCAGAATTCTGATAAATAGGGCAGGCAGCCTTCCACACACTTCCCTTTTCTCAGAATGTCCTCCTTCCAACTTTCCAACCAAGTCTCATGTTCTCCCCCCCAACAGGGTTCAGTTAAAACATTGGGAATTTTTAGAGGTTTAAAAAAAAGGTAAAAGAACCCTATGAAGTTAGGCAAGCTATTGGGAGCCATAGTGCTGAAATCCTTCCTCCTTTTCTTTCTGCAGCTTCTAGAATTCCTCTCCATAGCTACTCTCAAGTTATGTCCACGGGACAAGCCCCCTTGGCTCCGGTCAGCACTCCTGAACTTTAAGGATCCTCAGGCCATGCTTTTCTCTGGCCACGTTCATGGTCATGGGGCCGTGTGCTCGCCCCTTCCTCACCCACTGGCGGGCCCACAGGCAAGGTCGGAGCACACAGAGGTGCCAGCCCTGCAGCTACGCCAGGGCCCTGAGTGCCCATTTCACCTTCACCAGCTCTCCTGCCAGCAGGAGGCATCTTCGCGGGCAGAAGGCACAGGGTCCATCCTTCACTGACTGCAGAATCTTGGCTGAGTCACATAGCCTCTCTGTGATTCATCTGCAAAGTGGGGACTACGAACCCACCTCACAGGGCTGTTGTGAGGATTCCGAGTTGATTTAGGCAAAGCACCGGAGACAAGGCGTGGCACCTACCGAGCACTCAATAAATCACTCAGTTCCTTTTCCTGTGTTGTTTCTTTTAACCTTCTGAAAAGATCAGTGAAAAGTCAGCTATCTAAGAAGCCCTTACTGTGGTTTGTTGTTTTTTTAAATTGAAATTCAATGTGCAGAAGTAAAAATATTAAAATCTAGTTTTCTCTTAAGCTTTTAAGTTCAATATACAAATCTATTGTTCTATTTATGACCCGAGTATTATATAAAACCATAGTTTTTAAGAGGGATTTTTACAAATTCATTTGTTTCCTTAAACATTTTAAAGTGGGTTTATAGATTTAATATATTCTGTTTAATTTTCCCCCTACGTACTTCAAGCTAGACTCCAATTATCTATGTACATTCATCCCTAAAACAGTGACTAAAAATAGTCACCATAATTTATTTTGCTCATGAGTGTGAGGCTTGAATGGGCTCAAGTGCACTGCTCCCACTCAAGGTTTCTCATGCTGTTGCATTCAGATAGTGGCGAGGGTTAGAACCACCTCAAAGGCTTCTCCATCATATGTTTGCGGCCCCATCTGGGAAGATTCAAACAGCTGGAACAGCTAGAGATCCTTGGGCATCTCTTGCTCTGTTGATAGCTTGCTCACTTTTGTTGCTTTATGAGTACTACGTTGTATGAATATACCACAATTTATCCATTCTACCATTGATGATCTTTGGGTAGATTCTAGTTTGGGACATTTAGTTTATAATAGCAGTAGTGGTGTTTTAAACATGCTTGCACATATCTTTTAGTACACATATGCATATATTTCTTAGGTATGTATCTAGGACTGGAATTACTAAGGCACATATGTTCAACTGTAGTAAACATTATCAGTTTTCTTAAGTGGTTATTCTAGTTAATATTTCCACAAGCTACTGTTCTAGTTATTTCTCATCCTTCCCGATAGTTGGCATTTTCATTTAAACATTTTTTAGCCATGTGGGTGTATGTAGCAGCATATCACATGGTTTTAATTTTCATTTCCCTGAAGAATGATGAGGTTGAGTACCTCTTTGGGTTTTTATTATCCATATACATATTCTCTATTGTGAAGTGTCTATCTGTGTGTATGCTTCAAGTTAAGTCCTAACTGGTTTGGCACAGTGCAGGCCAAAGGATCCTAAGTTCAATTCCGGTCAAGATGCATGCAAGAGGCAACCAATTGAACCAATCGATGTGTTTCTCTCACATAGATATTTTTCTCTGTCTTTTTTCTTCCACTCTCTCTAAAAATCAATGGAAAAATATCCTTGAGTGAGGATTAAAAATAATAAATATATATATTTATATATATTCTTATATATAAATATTTATATATATATATATATTCAAGTTAAGAGTTCTTTGTTGCTTATATATTCAAATATATTCACCCACTTTATGACTCTTTTTTTCTCTAAATGGTATATTTTAATGAATATGAATGATTAATTTTAATGTAGTAATTTAGCATTCTGTTTTCTGTATCCCAGTACATTCTGTGTCATGATTAATGAATATTTTCTTCCCCTAAAGATTCTGTTACTTTCTAGATGTTTTGTCGTTTTACATTTCACAGATCTACAATCAACCTGAGTTGGATATCTGTGTATCTATGACATATGGATCAAAGTTGTTATTTTCCAGAGGATATCCAATAGACTGAGCACTATTACTGAGCTGATTATACTCTCCCCACTAGTGATCAATGCCCCTTTGTCATATAGCTGAAGTTCTATTTCTGAATCTTCTATTCTGTTCCATTAGTCTATTTTCTATCTGTTGACAATACCACCTCTTGTAATTATTGAAGATTTACAATAAGTTTTGGTATCTGATGATCCTCAAGTTTCGTTCTTCAAGTCTTCATTATTCTTAGCCTTTCCCTTTGTATTTTCATCAGCTTGCTAAACTCCACACAATTATAAACTCTGTTGGAATTTTCATTAGAATAATATGCACACTGTGAATCCAGTTGGTAAATAATTGATGTATTTATAATATTGATTTTTAAGCACTTCATTTATTTTGATCTTCTTTGTTTTTCTCTCTTTTAATTATGTTTTGTAGATTTCCATGTAGAGATCCTAGCACAGCTTTTGTTAGATTTATTTCTAGGTACCTGATTACTTTGATGCTATTATAAGTGTTACATTTAATGTTTTTTTACATTCTAATTTTTTTTATTGCTTGTATGCAGAAATAGAATTGATTTTTGTATCTTTAGCTTCCATCTGGTGATCGTGATAAAATCATTTATCAATTCTAATCATTAATCCATAGTTTTCAGGATTTTCCATAGATTCAGTTGTCATCTGTATATAACGATAGTTTTATTTCTTCATTCCTGACCTATGCATACCTTAATTCTCCTCCTTATTTCTTATTTTTATTTTTTGGTTCCTTGTTATACTGGATAGGATCTCCAGTACAGGATGACTAGAAGGAATGGTGAAGACATTCTTCTCTCATACTTGACCTTAAGGAAATATTTTACTATTAAGTATGATGTGTGTTGTTAGGTTTTTATGATACCTCTGTCAGGTTAAAGAGGTTCTATTCATAATTTGCTAAAAGCATTTTTAAGATCATGAATGAATATTAAATTTTATCACATGACTTTCTGCATTTATAGAGATTATTTTTCTTATTTATTCTATTAATGAATTATATTACTAGATATGCAAGTGTTAAAAAAAACTTGCATCCCTGGACAAATCCAATTTTATTTATGATGTATTTTCCTCTTTATGTGTTTCTGAACCTGGTTTGCAAATATTTTGTTTAGGATTTTTGCATCTATGTAGCTTGTAATATTGTCAGTCTTTAATATCAAGGTTATGCTGACTTTATAAAAAGAGCTGGGAAGTAATCTTTCCTGTTTTCCTATTCTCTGGAAGAGATCTTTAAACCAAAACAGTTTTATAACTCTTGGTTCTCATCCTGCCACCTTATCATCTACTCTCTCTGTCTGTTTCTCCACTCAGATGCCCAAAACCTTGGAGTCTTTCCATCAGTCTAGTTACTTTTTAAAAAAATATATTTTATTGATTTTTCACAGAGAGGAAGAGAGAAGGATAGAGAGTTAGAGACGTCGATGAGAGAGAATCATCGACCAGCTGCCTCCTGCACACCCCCCATTGGGGATGTGCCCGCATCCAAGGTACATGCCCCTGACCGGAATCGAACCCGGGACCTCTCAGTCCGCAGATCGATGCTCTATCCACTGAGCCAAACTGGTGCCAGCGAGTCTAGTTACTTTTGTTTTTGAAGTATATCCTGAATTCAACTCACCACCTGCAGTGCCACCACTAATTTCAAGCCACTATTATTGGGTCGGCAGGTAAGTAATTGCGGATTTTTTAAAGAAAATCAAAGACAATTTTTTCATGGAACTAAATAACTTTATTCTGTAATGTATTGCCCATTTTGATCAATGACCTTTTGCCATCTTTCAGGCAGCATCATAATCCCACGTTCAAAAAACTTCTGGTTTTTATTAGCAAAAAACTGAATCAGGTACGATTTGACATCATCATCATTATTGAAATTTTTACCATTCAAGGAGTTTTGTAAAGATCGAAACAAAAAGTAATCAGATGGTGCAAGGTCAGGACTATATGGTGGATGTGGCAAAACATCCCAACCAAGCTCCATTAATTTTTGCCGAGTGACCAAAGATGTGTGTGGCCTTGCATTGTCATGATGGAATACAACACCTTTTCGATTTGTCAATTTGGGCCGCTTTTCTTCAACTGCATTGTTTAATTTCATTAGTTGTTCAATGTAGACATCAGAATTGATCGTTCGGTTGGGTGGTAAGAGTTCAAAGTAGACAATTCCTTTGTAATCCCACCAAACTGATAACAAAACCTTCTTTTGATGAATATCAGCTTTTGATGTTGTTTGAGTTGGTTCACCTGGCCTGCTCCACGATCTTTTCCGCTTGATATTGTTGTAAACAACCCATTTTTCATCGCCAGTTATCAGTCGTTTTAAAAATGGATCATTTTCATTACGTTTCTTTAGCAAATCGCAGCTGCTAATGCGTTGCGTTAACTGTGATTCTTTCAGTTCGTGAGGAACCCATGTATCGAGTTTTTGAACATAGCCAAGTTGTTTTAAGTGATTTTCAATGCATGTATGTGATACATGAAGCTTCTCTGCAATCTCACGTGTTGTACTGTGACAGTCCGAATTGATTATTGTTTTGATTAGGGCGTCATCAACTTCAACTGGACAACCAGAGCGTTTTTCATCTTTGAGTGAAAAATCACCAGAACGAAATTTGGCAAACCAATTTTGACACTGCCGTTCTTTTAAGGCTTCGTCACCATAAACAGCACATAACTTTTTATGAGCTTGCGATGCGTTTTTCCCTTTGTGGAAATAAAAAATCAAAATATGACGAAAATGTTCCTTTTGATTTTCCATTTTTCAACGAACGCCAAATGAAAACTACAAAACAGATCAAAAAACTTTTTTTACTGATTAACAGCTGAATAGCCAACTATCAAATAACAAAATGTGTTTTACATTTTTACTACGTCTGCAAACCTAAAAATTCAACTGAAGCCATATATGTGTGAAACCCGCAATTACTTACTTGCCGACCCAATATTTCAAACCTAGACCAACTTGAATAGCCTTATAACAGGTCTCCTGATTTTTCCTGCCTGCAT